AGGACGATGGCGACGGAGATCCCGGCCAGGAAAACGGCGCGCATGTTCAGCGCGTCGGCCTCGGGGTCGGCCGAGAAGCCATGGTAGTCGGGATTCTGGGAATAGAGAGGGAGAATTCTGCTGAGCCCCTCTGTGCTACCCCAGGGGTGTCCCCCTCCCCAAATTGAGCCCCTCCCACCCATTCAGCATGCCATTAGCTATTCAAAACCACGCCTCCAGCCATGACCCCGCCCACACCCATAAAACCATGCCCATTCCGAGCAGACCACGCCCATTTCTTATTATACGACACCAAACCCCACCCATTGAGGCTCCGCCCCCGCACAGACCACGCCCATTCCTCATCCCAATACACTCCGCCCCTCCCGCTTTGCCCTTGGCCCCCACCTTCCTCTGCGCCACCAACATCGGCTCCTCCTCGTGCTCRTCGGCTCCGAGCGGCCTCGGCAGCGCCACGGCCCCGGGAGTCCCCGCCGAGCGGCCCCGCGCCCCGCCGGGCAATGCCCGGAGCGCCCGCAGCGCCCGCCACAGCGCCGCCATCTTTGCCCGGCCCCGCCTCTTCCGGTCGGTCTGACCAATCGCGACCGCGCTTTGGCGCAGCGTCCCGCCCCCGCGCCTTACAGCCAATCACAGCGCGGCATTGACACTGTCCCGCCCATTCTCTGCTAGTGGCTCCGCCCACTCTTGCGCGGCAGCCAATCATAGCCCGCCGCAGCGCTGCACCCCCCCCGTTTATTGTACTAACCAATAAGAATACGGGTTTTGCAGATTGACGGGCGCGAAGACCAATAGAATCGCGGCGGGGGCGGGCGCGCGGGCCGGGCTGGGCTGAGCGGGAGCGGCGCCGCCATTTTGGTGCTCGGCGGCGGCGGCGGCGGCGGCGGAATTGTCCGGGACGGTCCGGGACGGTCCGGGAAGGTCCGGCAGTCCGGGACGGGGATAACCGGGAGGGGCGGGGCAGATCGGCCCAAGGCGGGGTCTGTGAGGCGGGGCGGGGGTGACCGGGAGGGGCGGGGTTAACGGGGATGAGGTGGGGCTGACCGGAACTCCCGCAGCGGGCGGGTTTGTGAGGGAGGAGGTGTGAGGGCGTGAGGGCGGAGCTGGGAGATGTCAGAGGAGGAGATACTTGCATGCTAATTAGGGGGCGGTGATTTGCATGCTAATTAGGGGGCTGGGCATGAAGGGGGGGGTCTCGTTTGCTCGTAACCGGCACAGGTCCCAGTGATCCCCAGTTTATCCCGGTTCCGTCTCATTTTCTCCCCCGTTGTGCCTCTGGATTTCCCAGTTTATCACAGAATTTTCAAGCGGTCAAATCCCTCCCAGTGCTTCCCAGTTCATTCAGTTTTTTTTCCAGTGAAACCCGGTCTCTTCCAGTTCATCCCAGTCAAACCAGTTGCTGCCCTCACAGGTGCTGTCAYCATGGAGTACGAGCGCAGGTAGGAGGAACATGGAAAGCCCCAAAACTGGGGATTGGGACATTTGGGGAGCTCTCAGGSGACACTTGWGKACCCTCATGGAAAGAAACTTGATATTTTGAGGACTTCAAATGGGCAAAGTGACACTGGGGGCTTTGGGGAGGGAGGGGGCCCACCAGGGGACACATTTGGGGACCATTTAGGGGGAAGGGGACATTTAGAGACATTAAAGGAATGAGAAGTTGGGGACCACTGAGGGCAGAGAGGGGTTTGGAGACCCTCAAGGCTTTGGAGCAAAGGCTTTGGGGCCACCTGGGGACTCTCTGACCCATCCCCTCCCCAGGGGTGGCCGTGGGGACCGGACGGGGCGTTACGGGGGAGCCCCGCCCCCCCCCGAGGATGGCTCCCGCACCCAGCGYGACCACGACTATCGCGACATGGACTATCGCGGCTACGGGGGCCCTCCGGACGGACCCCCCGCTGCCGGGACCCCCCCGCAGGTGGGTGTGGGCTGCTGTGGCGGGGTCACCCTGCCGTGGGTGCCGGGACCCCTGTGACACCTCCCACCCTCCCAGGCGTCCTACGAGAGCACAGAGCCCCCCCGGAAGAGGGAGCCGCCCCGGGAYCCTCCCCGGGACCCCCCGGCGGCCACGGTGCTGCCGTTCGGCGCTGACGGTGATTACCGGGACCAGGATTACCGGGAGGGCCCCGAGGAGGAGCCGCGCGCCAGCACCATTGTGATGCTGCGGATGCTGCCGCAGGC